TATTTCTGCTCTAATCTTTATTATATTTCCTCTCCTCTGATGATGGTAGGCTTTTTTTGATGCTATTTTATAATTGTTAGAGATGTTGGGTTAAAATGTTGATTTTGATTCTTTCTTCTTCTTCTTCTTCTTTTTTTTTTTTTTCTTTCCTAGCCATTCTCAACTTTGTCCTTAGGGAAATATGGTCCTTTTGATTCTGAATGATTGACCATTCCATCATTCATAGCCAGCATACCTTATTAGTGTTGTCTAACTATTGTTGTCTCTACGAACTGGGCTGCAAACCTCAGCAGTTCGAAACTACCAGCAGGGTCAGCAGTTTGAAACTCCCAGCTGTTCCGCAAGAGAAAGATGAGGTCTTCTGCTCCTGTAAAGATTTACATCTTCGGAAACCCTGTACGGTGTACCTATGAGTCGGAATCAACTCCACGGCACATAACCACCACCACTGATTGGCTGAAAGTTGGGCCATAAGGGTGAGTTACTTTCTAGATCTGAAGGGTTCTTCCAGTCTCTTTTTGACCAGTGAGCTTGGTCCTTTTTTTTTTTTTTTTTAATAATTTGGAGTTTTCCATATTCTGCCATTCTAGTTAGGATCTTCTAATGTAATCCCTTTCAGTGCAGTTGGTCATGGTAGCTGGGTGCCATCTAGTTCTTCTGGTCTCAGAGTTGTGGAGACTGAAGTTTACATGGTCCATGAGTCCCAAGCTTCTTCAGGTCTCATAACTCTTCTTTCTTCTTTTTTTGATGTGAACATTTATTGCTATTAGTTGTCTTCTGAGCACTGCATTTACTGTGTCCCAAAGGCTTTGGTATGTTGTGTTTACATTCTCATTTGATTCAATGAATCAAATGATATAATCAGCACTGGATTGCGAACCACAAGATTGGCAGTTCAAATATACCAGCTGCTCCTTGGAAACCCTATACAGGGTCGCTATGAATCAGAGCCTTAACAACAACAACAACAACAACAACAACATTACTTAGTAGCAGCTGGTGAGCTTGAACCAGCTACCTTGTGGTTCAAACTGACTTTGCAGTCCAGCACATCAGCACACATCACCATACCAGGACTCCTAACAACAACAACAACAAGCAGGATATTAATCAATTTCCACATTTTTTTTCCCACTTGATCTTCCTATTATTGATTTATAATGTTATGGCATTGTGATCTGAGAAGATGCTTTGTAGTATTTTGATGTTTTTAAATTTATTGAGACTTGCCTTATGGCCTAACACATGGTCTATTTTGGGAAATGTTCCATGTGCTCTGACAACGAATGTATGTTGTTTTGCTGTTGGGTGGAGTGCTCTGTATATATCCATGAGGTCAAATTGATTGATGGTGCTGTTTAGATCCTCTGTATCTTAACTGAGTTTCTTTCTAGGTATCTCTATCTTCATCAAGAGATGTTTTAAAGTCTCCTGATGGTGTGGTCATATTTTCCAACTACGGATCCTTCCTCTTTGCTTCCTTTTGCTCATTCTTCTTGGATCAACTATCAACACTAATGGAAGCAGCAGTCAAGAAATCAAATGACATATTGCATTAGGCAAATATGCTGCACAAGATCCTTTTAATGTTGAAGAGCAAAGATATCAGTGTGAGGACTAAGGTGCGCCTGACCCAAGTCATGGTATTTCCAATAACCTCATATGCATGCGAAAGCTGGACAGTGAATAAGGAAGACCATAGAAGAATTGATGCTTTTGAGTTATGGTATTGGAGGAGAATATTAAAAGTGCCATGAACTGCCAAAAGAACAAACAGATCTGTGTTGGAAGAAGTGCAGCCAGAGTGCTCCTTGGAGGCCAGGATGGCCAAACTTCATCTCTCATACTTTGGACATATTGTCAGGAGGGACCAGTCGCTGGAGAAGGGTATCATGTTTGGTAAGGTGGAGGGTCAGAGAAATAAAGGAAGACCCCCAGTGAGATGGACTGGCCAAGTGGCAGCATCAATGATCTCAAGCGTGGCAACGATAGTAAGGTTGGCCCATGATCAGGCAGTGTTTCGTTCTGCTGTGCATAAGGTCGCTATGAGTCGGTACCAACTGGATGGCACCTAACAACAACAACAATGGTGGGGCACTGTAGGATAAGCACTGGACTTCTAAACTCAGGGTCAGCAGTTCAAAACCACCATGCACTCCTTGGACAGTCATTCCAGGGTTGCTATGAGTTGGACCTGACTCCATGGCATTAAGCACCAACACTGTTATTATGGAGTTAGCTATGTCCCTGTTCAATTCTGTTGACATTTGAGGTATATATTTTGTGGTTTTTCATTGTTTACATAATTATTTACTACGGTTATAGCTTTCTGGTTGACTCTTTAATCATTATATAATACCTTCCTTGTCATTTATACTTGTTTTTGCGTGGAAGTCTATGTTAAACTCACTAGCTGCTCCTCAGAAACCCTATATAAGGTTACTATGAATTGGAACCAGTTCAATGGCACTTAACAACTACAACAATCTTGGTATTGTCTTCCTCTCCGTTTGGAAGTTCTGTAACATACCATTTATGCTCTCTTTTTGCTTTGCAGTTGTCCTCATTTACAAATTGGTATCTATCGTTTTCAATTTTAATCCTTGTGGGTTTGTTTTTATTTTGGTTACTTCTATATCTGGGTTGGTTTCTGGGTCATGTTGTCATTTGTCTTCATCTCAGGTTATTGTTTGTCATCATTGGTTCTCTGAAGTACTTAGTATTTTAGTGTTTCGTATAAGGTTGATCTAGTTTTGACAAATTCCCTTAATTTCTTTTTATCTGGAAATTTCCTAATTTCACCATCATATTTGAGGGACACTTTTTCTCTATATATAATTCTAAGTTGACAATTTTTTTTTCTTTTGGGGTTTTTTATATGTAGATGCTCTAAAAAGTTCATAGAAAATGGAATAAGAAATAAGGAGTTTTATTATTTTTTCTTACTTCTTCTTTCACAGGCTGCTTTCAGGATTCTTTCTTTGTCTTTAGATTTGGAAAGTTTGATTCTGTTATATCTTGGTGATATGGGTACTGCTTTTTTAAAAAATAAATCTTATCACCCTCTGTGAAGGTGAGATCTTAAGCTCACTTTTCTTCTCTGCAACTCCTGGCTAGTCTAATATTTGGCACATAACAGATGAAGAAAACATCCAATTTATAACTGTGGTCAAATGAATGTGAAGTTGTTGATGACCCCTTAGTGATCTGAAGAGGCTGTCATGGGATGGGCAAATGGTACATTCTCTCCTCCACTTCTACAGACTGTGGGTTCTTTCTGGAAACAATAGGCAATTATTGAGGATCTACTATGTACAAGGTACAATGAGAGCTCACAGAATGAGGGCTTTTTATCTTACCTGTATATTCTCTCCAGGTCCATGACTGATATAAACAGTTAATTGCTGAACTATTAACTAAAATGTGGGTGGTTCAAATCCACCTAGAGGTGCCTTAGAAGGCGGCTTCTGAAAGTTCACAGCCTTGAAAACCCAATGGTGCAGCTCTACCTGCACACATGGGATCACCATGAGCCCTGATCAACTCAATGGCAATTGACAACAGCATCTCTTTCTCAGCTTCCTGCCACCAAAATTAACTTCAAGAACATTTCTCCTTGTTTCTTTTTGTGGAAAGTTTGGGACTTAAAGGTAGGATGATAATATCATTGGAAATATTCTAGTCTGTCACATCTACAGCTGGGGATTTGCACTACCAGTTCACATTTTCTGAGTGAGTTCTTCCTATGTGTCACTATGGCAGCTTGCACTGCATGCCTTGCATACATTCTAAGCTCCATAAGCACTTGTTAATTGATTTTGAATAAACATGTGATAGCATCAATACAAGGATAAATCAAAAAGCATTGTTACTAGGACTCCAGTTCATACATACCCAAAAGCCAAACCAAACTTACTGCCATCAAGTCTATTCCAACTCATAGAGACCATGTATAGGGTTTCCAAGGCAACCAATCTTTGTGGGAGCAGAAAGCCTCATCTTTCTCCCATAAGGCAGTTGTGGGTTTGAACTACCGACCTTGAGGTTAGCCATCCAGTAACTACAGTGCCAACAGGGCTCCTCCAGTTCGTATATGCATGGGTTTACTCCAAACAAAGCATGTTTAAACATGTCTCTAAGATCAACAGATGGCTGAAGACAATGTTTCTCAGTAATACACTGGTTTTAGTCTCATCAGAGTGCCTTAAAAAAAGAAATGCCCAATCAAAACAGTGGCTTCCATAGGGGTCTGGTAGGCCAGTTAAATTTAAGGCAAGAAGTCAGCTCAGAAGGTTATGGTGACTCTTTGGGGGGAATCCCAAAGGGGTAGTCTTGATAGTTTTTCTCAAAGGACACAGGACAATTATGGGGTCTTATGAAAATGTTTTAAGAAAAGTGAAAACTACATTGGTGAGGAAAGTGCCAGGAAAGTTGCAGCGAGAAATTTTTCTCCATCACAATGCATCTGCTCATTCTACGGTAGCAGAGCTGTCCTAGGAGAATTTCCATGGGAAAGCTTAGCCCATCCACCCTACAGCCCTTATCTTGCCCCTTCATGCTTCATTTTGTTCTCCAAACTCAAAGAACATTGAAAATAAATATAGTTTTAAGTCCCTCGAGGATGCCCAAACTGTTATTTTGATTTAGTATAAATTTAAGAATGCAGAATACTTCTGGGAAAAGGAAAGGCGATAGAGACACGATCTTCAGAAATATATAGACCTAAATGGAGGATATGTTGAGAACAATAGATTTGTATTTTGATATATTTGTTTAATAAAAGTTTCTATGATTTGGGGATAAAACTTTTAAGATTTATCCTCATATATCAGGAGAAGGACAAGGCTTTCTGCTCCTGCAAAAGATTTAAGGCCTTGGAAACCCTATACAGGGTCGCTATGAATCAAAACCAACTCTGCAGCCCTTAACAACAACAACAATTATGAAAAATGAGCAACCTGGGTACTGAAAGAATCTGGGTTCCTTCTCAGAAAAGCCACAGTGCTGGAGCTTGGCCTAAAGTTCAAATGTTCCTGCACCCTGCCCCGTACTATCTCTATCCAGGGGAATCTGATAAGGATGATTTACCTTTGCTCCCTCACTGCATTAGAAAGCATTCTTAGCTTTCAGGTGATTGCCACTGGCTAACTTGGTGTGAAGTTCTGCAGAACATAAAATCACCCTTCTCACTACCAAAAGAAGATGCTGATGAATTTGAGGCCCCTGCTCAATAATGCAGTTCTTAGAAATGGCCACAATCTCGTGGTTCGAAATTTTAGGTAAGTGTTGGTCAGAGATGTGGGTCTAATTTAGGAATTGGAGTGATGAAAAGAAATAATATTCTGCAGAGGTGTGCAGCCACAAAGCGGCTCTTTCTTCAGTGTGTAGCAGCAACCTGCTCTACTCTTATTCGAGACAGTTGTCTCTAATTCTAGCCCACCTTTTGTTTCTCGGCCTGTCTATAATCAGATTTCATCGAGTGCTGTGGAGGAAGCTAACTGTGGCAGGTGTAACAGAGGAAATGTTCTTGAAATCTTTCTTTTGGATACTCTCTAAAGGAATTTAGAGGAAGTAATTTACACAAAGCCATCAGTTTGCATTTGGGTTTGCTTGAAAACCATAAATCACTCTAGGGCATTGGGATTTATCAGTTCTTTAAGAAAGAGGCCTCCAAAAGCAAGTAGACATTTACACAGCAGCTACACAGGTGTCTTGTATGTGATGGAAATAATGGTATTTTATTTTTAAATCCAAGTTTGAAATCCATCCCTAAAGTTGTTGGTGGCTTGCACAAAGAAGGCTTGTCTCCACTGAATTGATTGTAAAAGATTATATCCTGAATCTGGCCCCTGAGCGTGTAGGTGATGAAGGTGGCATGGGTGTGTCAAGGGGGAAGGGATTAGGGAAGATGAGTTAACTGGGTAGGCAAGGCCATCAGGTGTGGACATTATCGTCCAAAAGCTTCTAGAGTACTTAGTTGCACGCTGACAATTAGATAGAATCTCCCCAGAGCATCTTTACAACCTGAACTAGCCTCAAAACCATCCCATAGACTTCGTAAAGGAAGAACCTTCTAGTCTGAAGTTTTTTTCTGATCATTAGGGAGCAAGCCTATGAGAGTGAGCTTCCATCTGTCTCCCTCTCTGAGCTGACTGACAGCTCTAAGCTTTTTAAACTCCAATGTTAGCACCAGATGCTTGATAAATGTAAGACTCTCAAACATGAGAATGGTGTTGTAAATGAAATTGTAAATTAAGCCTAGAGTTTTAGATGTTGGTGGGACCTCAAAGTCTCTGAATAATGCTTTCTCTTACGTAGCTGATAAAGGAAAGTGAAGCCCAGAGAGATTAAGTGCCAGAGTTAAGTCCTGTATCCCAAGCATCTGGAGAGAAACACAGGCTTTGGTGTCTAAAGACATAAGTTCAAAGCCTAACATCACCACTTGCTACCTATATGATCTTGAGTAAGTTACTTAACTCTTCTGCAAAATGTTGCTTCACCTAGAAAATGCTCCGCCTTTATCTTTAGGTGGGTCAATCAGTTATTCAACAAATATCTATTCAGCACCTACTTTGTGCCACATGCTATGCAAGGTGTTGGGGAGATAGTAGTAAACAGATATTTAATTTAGCCACATGGAATCAAAGTCTAGTGATAATCAATGAGATACTGTGTGTGAAAATGGGAAAGTGACAGATGAACGTTAATTATTTATTTTGCTGTTCCATTCCTGTGACTTAGGTTATAGAAAAGTGTGATGAATTTTCACTCCAAAGCTTTTATTAAGAATCATTGATCAGGTGAAAATACTCAATTGAATGAAAAAAATAAAAACTTGGAAATTAAATTTGCACATCTCCTTGAAAATTCTTGTAATTACACAAGCAAGGCCTTTTCCAAATATTTGGGCTTTGTTGATATTTAGTAATATTCTATTGTCTATCTTCAATAGCCAGACCACATCTCTGAAAATCCTGGCTGGCCATCTCTCACAATGAATAGGAGCTTGGCGCAAAAGCATGGCCAAATCAGCCTGTATTTGAAAACATGAAAGAAAGCTTATAGTTACCTACGTTCATTAGAAGCTCAATAGTGCGTTCAATTGAAAAATGGGATAATGCTCAAATAATAGCATTCTTTTAGTTAGTCACACTACCTGCCAGCGACATGCATTCAGAACTGTTGATCTCCAATGAAACCTACAATCTTTAAAAATGCCCTCAAAACCAGAAATGCTTCCTGTCAACTTTGTCTGTGTTACACTTTTACTTGACCTTTAGCCTTCCACAGAATTTCCCTCAGATCTCTTGGAAAAGGAGGAGGAGCCTTGTTACAAAGCATACCACATGAGTTAACCAGTAAAGAGTAATAGGAAACATGGTTAGGGTTTAGCAATGCTGTGAAACAGGGATCATCAGTTCTGAAGCGAGCAGCATTCAGCTTAATGGAAGCTGCATACACCCTCACAGGCTTCTGGATCAATCATTGTTAGGCAATTAATATTTCTATTTTACAAAATCAATAGGCTACTGAAAACCCCCCATCCATAGACTTTTCATTTCACAAACAAGGCTCTTGAGCCTGGCTCTGTTTGGATATGTGATTTGTTGGCTATTAGGAAAACCACTTATAGCTTTGAAAGAAACCAATAAAAAGAAATCCCTTTCTTTATCAGAGCAGACCAATTTGTAAGTGCAGTTCAATTTCATCTCACAAATAGAAATCTCTTCAGAGAATATGGAGCTAAGTCACCCAATTCTGTAGAGGTTATGGATTGGAGTCTGGGGTGACTGGTTTTCTGGTATTTCATTCCAGACGTCTCTAAGAGCTTATATAATTTATTATGTTTCTTCTTAGTCCAAACACATGTCCATCTATACACATCTGAACACACAAGAAGCAATCACAGGCCCTCCATACTCATGAGTGCTGTTGCTGTTGTTAGGTGCTGTCGAGTTGATTCCAACTCATAGTAACTCCATGCACAGCAATATGAAACACTGCCTGATTTCATTCCTATGCTTGAGCCCATTGCTGCTGCCACTGTGCCAATCCATCTCATTGGGGGTCTTCCTCTTTTTTGCTGGCCCTCCACTTTATCAAACATGATGTCCTTCTCTGGGCACTAGTTCCTCCTGATAATATGTCCAATGAAGTCTTGCCATCCTGGCTTCTAAGGAGCATTGTGGCTGTACTTCTTCCAACACAGATCTGTTTTGTTCTTCTGGCAGTCCATGGTACTTTTAATATTCTATTCTGATACCATAACTCAAATGCATCAATTCTTCTGTGGTGGTGTTGGTGTGCCGTGGAGTTGGTTGCGACTCATAGCAACACTGTATAGGGTTTCTGACGCTGTAAACCTTTACGGGCACAGAAAGCTTCATCTTTCTCCCACAGAATTGCTGGTAGTTTCAAACTGCTGACCTTGAGGTTAGCAGCCCAACTCATAACTACTATGCTACCAGGGCTCCTTGTCCAACTTTCACATGCATGTAAGGCTATTGAAAATACTATGGCCTGGGTCAGGCACATCTTAATCCTCAAACTGACATCTTTACCCTTGAATACTTCAAAGAGATCTTGTAGAGCAGATTTGTCTAATGTAATACATCATTTGCTTTCTTGACTGCTGCTTCCATGAGTGTTGATAGTGGATCCAAACAAAATGAAGTATTTGATAACTTCAATCTTTTTTCCATTTATATGGATGTTGTTTATTGATCCAGTGGTGAGGATTTTTTTTTTCTTTACATTGAGGTGCAACCTATACTATACTTTGATCTTCTTCAGTATTTTAAGTCTTCTTCACTTTCAACAAGTAAGGTTGTATCATCTGCATATGGCAAGTTGTTAATGAGTCTACCTCGAATCCTGATGCCACGTTCTTCTTCATATAATCCAGCTTCATGGATTATTTGCTCAACATACAGATTGAATAAGTATGGTGAAAGAATAGAACCCTGACTCATACCTTTCCTGATTTTTAAACCATTCAGTGTCTCCTTGTTCTGTTTGAACAACTGCCTCTTGGTCTATGTACAGATTCCTCATGAGCACAATTAAGTGTTCTGAAATACCCATTCTTTGCAGTTTTATCCATAGTTTTCATGAGTAGTGGAAAGAAAGAGTGCTTTTTGATTATTCACTTTCATAACTGAAAATGAATGCCTTTTTATTTTTATTTCTTTGTCTTTCTTCATGGATGCATTCAAAATTTTTTATTTCTCAGCTGAAGAAGCCAAAAGGTTGGTGGTTCAACCCCACCAGCCACTTAGTGAGAGAACTTTGTGGCAGTCTGCTTCATTACGGATTTACAGCCGTGGGGACTCCATGGGGGTAGTTCTACTCTGTCCTATAGGGTCACTATTAGGGATTTGATTCTATGGCAACAAGGTTTTTTGGTTTGTTCTTTTTTTACTTGATTCACATAATCATATGTATAAAGCAGGGCACCAGGGTGGAATCGAGTCAAGATGTTTCCCTTGGCCAATTGTAGTCTTTGGTGGCTGTTTTTGGAATTTGTTATTTTAATAATTTAGTGATTCAACCAAAATAAGAGAAGTAGAGGCAATTGTAGATTTTGAACAGTTAAAGGCTACCAGATCTTTAGTAGTGCATCTGTACAAGTCTAAACCTAATCTGAATTCTTCAGTTTTCAGATGAGGAGAATTTTCATAATTTTTGGGCATTGAAACTCTATGGAATTTTAGAAACAACATGATCACCCAGTTATCAATGATAATTTATACCAAATATGGGTATGTGACAATAATGGGAAATGTTTTAGATAACATTGTATTAAAACAGTAAAGTAAACTCTTCATATTGTTAATATTATTATTAAAATAAAGAAATTTAGGAATGATTATTGGGTTATTGTTTTCTTCCAACTGAATGAAATCAGACTCAAGGTTTTTGTGAAAATAAATTCACTCTCCCTTGTATGCATTCAAACATGCTTTCTTGGGAAGGAAAGAAAGGGATGGAATTAAAGCTAGGTCGCTAAGAATTCAGATGGTTTCAGTATGGTCCATGGGAATATCTTGTGTTTATAAGTTTCATGTCGGTTGTGCAAGACAAAGACAGTGAGAATCACTGATTTTGTTCACTTTCTTAATGTTTCAGATGAGGAATTGAGGCCAGAGATGGTACATGACCTTGCCAAGATCATAGCTTATTCCTAAATCGGAGATAAACTATGGCTTGTTGTTAGGTGCTGCTGAGTTGGTTCTGACTCATAGTGACCCTGAGAAGCAGCTGGTGGGTTTGAACTACT